AGATCCTTAGGAAGAAAAAGCAGAAAACTAACAGTAATATGGTCACATAATTCCAGAAGAACAAGAAAAACATTGAAGTCAAACCATGGAGCACTTTCAATGTAAGTGACGAAGAATCAACAAAGTCAACCTAGCATTCTTCACAAACTTCCACTCAATTTTGCATCTGTCTATCTTACGTACACTAGTTTTGATAGAAAATTGTCACATCAAAACAAAAGTCAGAAACCATATTATACTTGATATTGCTTTCTGTGTGTTTTAAGTTCATCCGAACAAAGCTTTGATACTTAGCATATACAATTACCTTGACTTCAGCCTTCCACAAGTTCGGATTTTCGGTAGAAGACATCAGAATAGCCAGGTCCGGCTCCCAGCAACCTAAGATGGGAACATCCCCACTAAGGTAAAGGCCTTGTCCGGCTGCCAGATCAGCTTCTATAATCCAAACGACCTTGCATAATTTTTCAGAAATAGCAACTGGCTGGCCTGAGAAATCAGAATGTGCCAGTCCATCAGCCATTTTTAACTATAGAAAAAGTAGTTCCTGAAAGGATTATATGAAGATTAGCTACAAAGAAAGGCATGTTCCCCCATTACAATCACGAGGGAAAAATATGAGAAGAAAAAATACATACATATATTTCTATGTGTATGTATATACATAGGAAAAGAACCTTTCCTCATAAGTAACTTAAAAAAGAAAAAAAAAACACTTGAAGGACTAAAGAATAATGGTCTTCTTGTTGCAAAACAATTACTCATTATTCCGAAGCACTACGCTCCCAGCCACAGGTAGGGCCCACAATTTCGTAAAAAAACGAAGCAAAGAACTCCAGGAATAGCATGCATGGCAAGGGCAACTTAATATCATAAAGACTGACTATCTGTTCAGCAAAGTGACAAGTTCTCCTCAAAGAGCAAAACAGCCATAGACAAAAGTGCTCAAGTATGTAATGCAGAGATGAAAAGTTTATTTTGTATTTCAGACATTATCCTCCTTGAAATCTACTGACAGAAAGACAAAAAAGTAGCGGAAACAACCAAGTTAACAGAATGTGCCAGTAGTCCATCACCAGAAAGATAATGTGCCACAAGATTTTCAAACTTCATTCAGAAAGGAAGATATAAGAATTGGAAAAAGAATCATACATCAAGAACTGAAGATAATGAAAATTGAAATATTTGCCTAATTTCAAAATCTATAGAAGGGGGAAGTTGTACAAAAGTATTTAGATGGCGTACTAAGGGGTAACGATATCTACAAAATAAGAAAGGCATATAAGCGCTCCACAGAATTTTAAACTGCAAAATTTCAGTGTCAACTGATTCAAAATGAAACTTTTGAATCACCTTTCTTTGTGGTCATTATGGGAGATGTTACAAGAGAATTAAGGTTTCCTGCACATAGTGTAAATCTGTACATGCTTCCAAGTGGAATGTGATGGCACAAATACCTGCTTCAACAAAACAATTAATTAGCATGTTAACATTTGTCCACTAGAAATTATTCTCATTTATGCATCTCTGAAACTTTTTCTAATTCAAGTTATTGGTTACAATAATACCATGTTTGCATTGCTAATGTGCTATAAATGGGGGATATTGTTAGAAAAACCGGATCACATTAAAATATGTCTTCAAACAACCTCTTCAGTTTAAATTGACATTTTGTTGAACTTCTGAACTAGATGACAAAATGAGTACAAAGTTCAATGCATTTTCCGAGTAAGCAATTACACTAAGGTTTTGTTTCGAACAAATGAACAATAAAATTATATTTTATTTATAGCAATGTGGACAAAGAATTCTTTTGCAAATGAACCTTGATGCTCAAAATAAAACATGACATTAGAAAAGAATCTTAGAATTAATTTGAATAACTACATCTGGAGAAACATAAACAAGAGTTCAAATAGATTCTGAGCTTTCTTACTCTGAAAACTCTCTAGTTTATTTCCAAATTCTGCTAAAATTTAGAAAGACTAGCAATGTACTTATGCAATTCAATAGAAAATCTATCTTAAGATGAATTTCGTGGTTTGAAATAACTCTAAGCAAGAAAAAAAGTATCGACTAAAAGATATTCCACATTTTTTATGATATTCATTTGTTCCAAACACAGGATGTGTTTGTAAAAAGGAAAAAAAAAATTACTTGTGTGGAATTTATTACGTATGTTTAAAAAATATGAAAAAATGAACTCTAAATTTATGTTAATTTAAATTAAAAGCATATATCCTAAATCCTATCAAATTTGATTATACATATTCTAAATCCTATCGAAATCGATCTTAAAGTTTAATTTCATACTCATATGTAGTTGAATTAAATATATATTTCTAAATGGATTACATAAAATATTGCATTTGTTCCAAAACATAACCATAATGTAAGATAAATCTATTTTTGCACCGAATTCCACAAACCCAGAAAAAAGGAGAAGACAGAAGGATACTACTAGGGGGAAAAAGAGAAGAACTCAGTATTATGTAAAAATCCCACACTACAGAATACCGAATACCACTAAAAGGAAACCGAAAAGGAAATTCGTATCAGTATGATTAACCATCAGTTGCTTGGAACATAAAGGAAGACCAAAAATTTACCTAGACCCAGTTCAATTCGGGCCAAGAACATTCCCACAATGATACATATGTAAATATACGTACATAAAGCATAACGATGTGTGACGTGCAAATGAACCCACTTACGGCGGTAGGAACCTATGAGAAGCGAACAGCCAAGCGGGGGCACGTGAACTTGAAGGAAGAAGAGCGGTGGACCGATGCCAAGCTTCAGAGACATCCATGGACGCGAACCGAGGTTCAGTGGCGTACAGAGAAGGATACAGATAAGGCATGAGAGACGGTCCTGGTTGTGTAAATCAGAAGCGGCAGTACGGTTGGTTCCATCATTTGAATGATAGAGCAGAGCTTGCGAGAGCTTTGTTTCAGAGAGCTAAGGTGGTGACTGCAGTGAGGATATGGATTGAGTTGATAGGTGTGGATTTTGAGAAAGAAGTAGAAGAGAAGATAATAGGAGGGATTGTTTCACTAATTCTCTGGCTTGGCTTGGCGCCTAATGCGGCTCGTGTGAATTGCTGCACACGTGTCTTAAACTTGAGTTTTTTTCTTTTTTCTTTTATGTGCTATTTTATTTTCCTTCTTTTGATTTCTGGAGAGGGTTAAATTAAATGAAATAATATCACTTGATCAAATTTAATTTAAATTTACCATTCATTTATATTCTGGAGTATCAATTAATGTTAGATATAGCAGGATAGAGTAAAAATATGAGTACAAAAAGTTATACAAAAAGTTTCATACAAACTTATTTTTAGTATAAACAAAAAATACACTTCATAGCTCATGTTGACTGCTTCTTGTCTTTCTATTCACATCAACTGTTACATTACAGGTGTTGCAGAACCTCAACATGTCATTTCTTTCACTTTGAGCTTCCATGTAAACCTCAATCAATTTTAGTACTTAGATGCTTCAAAAGCAGAGTACTAAAATTCTATTGTGATCTAAAATGAAGATACAGAATATTAAAATTTCCTATCTTTTTGGAAAGTAAAAGCCCCCTCTTCATTTGGACTGTTGGGTTACCATGACTGGTTTCTGTCTGTAAATTTTTTGTTTGATGTGCTCCTGGTGTTTTTGGGTATAAATGGTTATTCGTTTCTTCATTGCTAAGTTTGATGTTTGTTTGGTCTGTGTTTATTTCTACAATTTACATGAGGTTGGGGAGTAACTTGAAAGTGGGTTTTTTAAAAGAGATGTTGTACATGACAAAAGCTAATCCTCTTTACTTGTAGAACTCTAGGGTTTTAATTAGAATTGTTGTACATATTTGATCCCCTAAAATTTGTTTGTTGCCAAGTTATGGGTTGATCATCTTGCTGAACTGGGCTGTCAGGCATGTCAATCCCCTCTTCATGTTGTTCTAAGCCGGCATACTGTTGCACCACCAGAACTGAAACTGTTGCTGCAAAATCTGACGATGCAAGCAAGTCTCCAATGGCACCTAGCTCCGGGCACTCACTCCAATCTGTGAGTCCTGCAGTTAAAGGTGATACAACTCCTTCTCCTCTCCCTACGATAAACAAGTCATGGGAATTGTCCATTGATCTTATTACTGCTACAGTTTCTTCCCCATTATTCGCTATCTTCTCTGTATAAATAATTGATTCGTTCATGTTCTTGGTCCTGAACTCATTTATGTACTCATCATCAAGTTGTCTCTCCCTCTCTTGCTGACTTAATTCTCTCATAATCGAACCAGAATGATTGATTGGATCCCCTGCTGTTACTTCAACTGTATCTTCACCAGGAAGAAATCGCATTACAGTAAGAGTGACACCTTGATGCTCTGACATTCTCCATCCATATGCTAATGCTTCTCTGTCATCCGGTCCACCAAAGAAGAGTACAGCAACAAAGTGAGATACTTGGTTTGCAGACAACCTACTAGACCCATTGAGGCCTCTGTCCACCAGGATCCCAACAGAGCAAGGTGCATTTGTTAGTACATTCTGGTTTACTGTTCTGAATGCTGGATTTGTGGCTTCCATCCCTCCATCAACAGTCTGTTGCTTGTGGAAAGGTATGATTACAAAGGCAACACGTTTATCTTCAGCCAAATTGCAGATGTCTTCATGCATGGTGGAGTAAGGAGAAATGGCAGTAAGGGGCTGAACAGAAACGCAGCCTGCATGGTGCTCGTAGTTTTCAAAAGCATGGATGATATGATCTGATTGAGCTTGTGTTCTGTTAAGTGCTGGGCGGCCAGACTTCCGGGTGTTATGAACGATGAGCATGGCTGATGCACGACCAGTGAGTTCAACAAGATGGAGAACATAAACGCCTATTGGGGATTTCTTGGTGGGATTAGAGGCTTCGAGGAGGTTAATGATTGTTGGAACATTTCTAGGAGTGTGGATGCAGACTAGTACTCGTAATTCATTATCTGGTTTTGCTCTCTGAATAGTTCGTTTTTTGTATGAAATGCACCTCTTTGTTGGCCTGTAAATAATGGACACAACAGGCGTGATGAGTCCCGTCATAATTACAGCTACAACCACCATGGTTGCGAATGATTCATCGTCTAAAACCTGCAAATCATCTTTACTTGTCAAAACAGAAAACCTGCTAAGACTATATGGTGCATTAATATAAGAATATATACCTTTTGGTCTTTGCCAACATTGAGGATGATCATTTCAATTAGGCCTTTAGTGTTCATGAGAAAGCCAAGAGTAAGTCCTTCTCGAATTGGCATCTTGTAGAGAAATGTTGCAATAAGAGTACCTATAACTTTGCCAGTGCTAGCTAGGAAGATGACAAGGAAGAGAACTCCCCAAGTGTCAGCACCTTTGATGGATGATATATCAGTTTTGAGCCCACTAATGGCAAAAAACAAAGGGAGCAGAAGGCCTGAAACAAAGTCCTCCAGCTTTTCTATGAGGGTAACACCAAGAGGTCCATTAGGAATTACCAAGCCAAACACAAAAGCTCCAAAAACAGAATGTGTGCCAATGGCATCTGTGACAAAGCCTGAGATCATTACCCCAGTGAGGATGAGACAGATATGGAAATCACTAAAGGTTTCACCTTCTGGTGTCTTCTGAATAATCCACCATATGGCAGGTCTAACTGCGAAAACACAGAAAACAACAAAGGCTGCACTAGAAAGTACCACCCAGAGAGATGACAAGGAAGAACCAGATTCATTCTCTGCCAAGGCAATGGCTAAGGCTAAAAGAATCCAAGCACACATGTCGTTGATAAGTGCGGAGGACATGGCTATCCGCCCAAGCTCCGTGTTAATGAGCTTGAGTTCTGCAAGAACACGAGCCAGCACAGGAAATGCAGTGACTGAAAGAGCCACCCCTAGAAAAAGAATGTATGTGCCTTGAGTCATTCCATCTTCTTGTCTGTGCAAGAGAATTGAGAAAATGACACCAATTAGGAAAGGGATGACCATGCCAGCAACAGCAATGGCCAAGGCCTTTTTCCCTGTTCGTCGAATGACTGAAAGATCCATCTCCACTCCAACAAGGAACAAGAAATAAAGGAGACCAACATTTGCCATTGTCTCCAGCACCATTACACTTCTGAGAGGAAATACTGTATTGGCAAATTCCAGGCTACGACCAAGCACCGATGGACCCAACATCACCCCACCCTGCAAATAAACAACAAAAACCCATTTCATCTCTCTGTTTCCAAAATCAAATTGACCGGCAGAAACCCTAAAAAGAAATAGAATAAAATTATTAACACTTACAAGAATTTCAGAGACAACACGGGGTTGGCGAAAGGGCTTGAGAATGTAAACAAAAATTCGAGTAGTAACCACAACCAGAGTTAATTGCAGAATGAAGAGAGGGAGAGAGTAATCCAAAGGGTTGTCACCTTGCCATATACCATTAGTGGTTATCATAGCCGGTGCGTAGCAAACAATGCTGCTGTCTGTTTTATTTGCTGCCATGGCCGTCACGGCAGAGGTGATTTCGGTGGTTGCATCCGACATTTTTATCCTATTTTTTTCTAAAACTTGACTCAAATAATTATTGTATATTTGAATTTTTACATTCACTGGCACATCGATTTGAAGATCTTGTAGTCAACACGACATGGGTTATTGTTTAGTAATGATAAATATTGTTATCATTGTTAGAATTAAGGTTACAGATGGAGATGTCAATGGCTTGGAGAAGTTTCAATGGGTGGTAAAAATTTGAAAAAGGAAAGTGAGAAGGAAGAAAAAGAAGGAAAAGAAGATTGGGGTGATTTGGTGGATCCCCGTCTTCTATGGGAACACCATATCTTTTGCGGTCAACGCTTACCTCCATTTTTAGACAAGGTAAAGCTACGTCAAAATGCATTTCATTACTTTAATTTCCTCTCTGCTTAACACACACACACACACACACACAAAGAAGTTGGTTATATAGTTAATCACCAATTATGATTACTAATTAACTAATTAATCATGGGTGTGGGTTCACATTAAGAAATATATGATAAGGAAGGAACATATATTTGTAAAATCTTTATTATGAAATTGATAAGTCTGAGCTAATGATTATAAAATGTTATGTAAGTATAGGTTAATTATAATGTGATTAATGCAACAAATTGTCGTATGTCACTTAATTAATGCATCATAATCTTTACATTTTGCAACAGCAAACAGCTCAATATAAGAGGAAACAAGAATAAAATGAAATTCAAATTGTCGTATGTTACTTAATTCATGCATCAACTCCTTTTACATGGTATCTCTTTCTAACTATGGTAGCAGAAACTGATTAATGACAGTTGTAAAAACAAAATTATGGATTAATATAATAAATTCCGATCACCAGTTTCGTATAATATTACAATGCATATATTTATTATTGACGATATGGAAATTAATTTAATTGCTATTAAAATTTGAGGAAAGGAAGTGAAAGTTCATTATATCGTTTGGAAGGAAAATTACCAAATTACATAATTTTTTTTTTTAGTGTTTTAAGCATAATTAATAGATTGAAAATACTAAAGTTTCTTCTGTAGAACATAAATATACACATATATTTGTTTGTAAATATAATAATACATGTTTTAGAGGGAGGTTATAAACATAATAATAACAATAATCTTACACCTTTGACTCGTGAAGCAATTTTAATTAATTAAATAATAAGTTAAACCAATTATATTAATAATTCAAACTAATAAGAAGTGACACAATTTATTATTTATATATCATTATAGTTAAATCATTTTTATTTAATTATAGGTATAGTTTATGTGTATATCCATTTTCAGAAACATAATTTTTTTAACTTCAACAGTGTGGGAGATTGAATCATTCCTTATGAAGATGAAACTGAAATTACTCTAAAAAAGAACATGGTAAGAAATTACAAAGAGGCCAGAAAAGAAGTTTCATAGAAAGTATGTACATTAAAAAAGTACACCACCAATCTCTCTGTAACACACACCCTGAAACACTCTACTGTACACTTAACACCTGTACATATCTCCATCAAAACTCCAATCACCAGAAGCACGAACTCACCTCCTCTTCCGGCATCACCGGCGTCCTGCAAAGCGGGCACGTAATATTCCAGTAATCCAACCATTTCTCTAGACATACTTTGTGAAACAGATGCCCGCAACCCAGCCGGTTTATTTCCGAATCCGGTTCGAATTCTGTTAAGCAAACCGCGCAGTCGTCTTCCGGCCATTTGCAGCTGCCCACGCTGTCGAACCGGACGGCCGGACTCCGGCTCCGGAACTCCTCTTTGTAACTCTCTGATGGGCTAAACCGGAACTCGAATGATTCTTGGGAGATTATCTCCATGGGATCAGAGGATGTGGAGGAAGGTGATGATGAGGAGAGACGAATACCTACTATGTCAAGGATTGATCGGACTATGCCTTTCACGATTGATACAGACAAGGCTGTGTTTACCAGGAGGACACACAGCATCCCTTCGGACGGAGAAGGGAGATTTGACAGACCCATTTTTGCTTTATTCAAAAGTTAAAAGGCCTCAGATTCGTTTTGGAGATGAATTGTTTGTACGGATGGCTTGTGAATTCTGATTGCTTTATTCAAAATCTGGTCTGGAAAGCAAGAAAGATGGTTATCATAATAAAACCCAAAAACTTGCAGTTGCAAATTTACAGAGCAGACATCAAGTTCAATGGCTCAAAATTCACATGCAGAGCATAAACGAAAGGAGAAAAGAGATTACCTATCAAGAAGAGAGAGATTCCTATATCAAGAAAGAGAAGAGAGAGATTCTGGATATGACAGTGGAAAAGCAGATACTCCTGTAACAAAAGACTAATCAATCAAACTCACCTGCAAACAAAATAACCCAGACTTCAACAAGTCGAGTTAGTGAAAAAAATTGTATGAAAACCATAAATAATTTCATTTAAAAAAATAATTGTTCTGTTTAAATATTACGAGTGGCCCAATCCAGATGTCCATGTACTTACTCTATGAAAGAACTTGGTTTGGAAGTCTATAGGCGTAGAATAGGCAGATAGGTGTACGACCATTTAATTAGCTTGTGGATTCAAGGAGACAGAGATCAACGCAAAGAAAAGAAGAAGAAAAAAAAAAAACTGCGAGTTCTTTCTCCATCATCAAGATCTAGGCACAGCTCAAAGAATGTATTGGATTACTAATTAGAAGAGAAAAAAAAAACAAGAACCAAGAAGAAACATCGCATAATAAGTGAGTAACATGAGATCTATCACTTCTCTCCCAGGAAAAAACAAGAACCCAGTAAACTTAAAAAGTGATCGAGCATTTCATTTTCCTTGACGAAATTTTCCTTCAAAACCAAGAAGAAAATTGAAGAAGAGAAATGAGTAGGAGATGAAACTTACAGATAATAAGAGGCTAAGGGTATAAAGGATGAAGAAACGTAGATGATTTAGGGTTAGATTTATAGAGTAAGTTGTAAGTGATCAAATGATAAGTAGTTTCATTGGAGTTGATAAAATGATTATGGCTGCCTGCTCCCTATTTGCGTTTATATAGCAAACCCCACCCGGGTTGCAAGCCCGAACCCAAGGTCCTTAACCATGGTTAGGCTTCCGGCTTTCCCGGGACTACTTTTCTCTTAACCGCGGTTACTTTATATCACCTCACCTGTATGACTCTCAACCCTCATCTCAATTTGGAGGCCTTTGCTCCCTTGTCTTTATTTCTTGTATCTTAAGTTTCTTTCTTTTTTCACTACGCTATTTGTTTTTTTCTTCTTTAAAAAAAAAAAAAAAAACATAACGGTATGTTGAAGTATTTTTAGCAACATTGACAGAAGTACTTTTTAAATTATAGATAAATATTTAATATAATCCATAGTAACTTCTACAAAAATTGACCAAAAAAAGAATCTCTCAACATAATTCTACTTTACCATCAGCCATATCATTTACTCCTTAAAAATTTTGGAAGTCAAGGAAAAAGGTTATGTTGTTGTAAATTTGTAAGTATGCTCTCTCTCAAGCTAATTTGAAGAAGTTAAGCAAACCAAGTTTGGAATTCAATTCTTCGAAAGTCTTTTTAGGTAATGACTCGATGAAAATATCAACAACTTGATAATAAACCTGAAATCTGTCGTACAAATAATACTCCGTAACTCTATTTTTTCTTTAATAAAGTATCAATCAATTTTTACATGATTAGTTGTAATATAATAAATTAAGTTTTTGACTATATTTTATTATGGACTGATTGTCATATAAAACTTTCATAAATTATGAAGATATAATGTTTAATTTACTCAGTATTCTTTCTAATCATATTATTTATTAGATATAACGTATTAAAATTTTAAATTTAATATCAATATTATTTGATATCACTGACTGTTTTTTACTTCTCAGAATGACTAGGTTTCTTCACATATATGTATAGTCTCCAAAAATAAATATCTATCAGTTATGAAGTTTGATGTAGTATGTATCAGATTGATATGTGACTTAAAAGATATCACTGATTTATCGTAATCATTTCATATTTTTTTAGAATTAAGAAATCCTCCTTTAGTACCATGTAATTTTATATTGATTGAAATTTTCCTCATAATACTTAACTTACAAAAACTATATATATATATATATGAACAAATTTTAGTAGAAAATTAAATACAAATTAGTCTCATAAAATAAAAATAAAAAATCAATTATGCAAGTTGATTATGATTTTATTTTATAAGGAGATTTTAAATTTCTATAAGAAGTTGGATTCCTACAATTATATTACATAAGTGGTATGATATGTGGCCACAAATACCATAGTATATGACAACATGTGGCATCATATTAACAATAGGTAGCAAGACATGTGGCATATAACACATGGTAAGGAAACCGAAAGGTCAAATTTAGAGAATACGTCATTTTTCTTAACTAACTCTTTTATATTATTATCAATTCGTTATTACCATCCCCTCTGTTAATACTTACCAAAATTAATCTATTAATTACGATTGCTATTAATAATGATTATATCAATTATGTAATGATGATAAATATATTTTATTATAAATTACATACTACTGTGTATATGTGAAATGAAAGTACCACAAAAACACCTAGCGACCTCTTATATTTGCACTCAATAATTTTACTTTCCTCATTACTATATTTATAAACTTAGTATCGTAACGACTTTTTTTTCCACAAAAAAAAAAAAAAAAACTCAATAGTCATTTGTTTGTTCATCTTAATATATCAAATAATATACATATAATCCTTAAAATGAGATATTAACTTCCTATTTAAATTTTATTTAATAGATATTATGTTGTTTATGCACACAAAGATGTAGATATAGTAATTAAAAAAATACACTTCCTAGTTCGTAAAAACATAATAATATGAGGGATAAATTTTAGCACGATGGTCAGAGCTAAATCGTAAAAGTGAGATCCACTTCCAAATAATTTCTACACCTTAATAAGAAAACAATAATCTTGCTAAGATAACTGAAAATATTTAATTATATCTCAACAATAAAAAAATAAAGAAGCAGATATACTACTTAGAAAAAGTGCATTCATTGTTGAATAGAAAAATTATAGTACGAGGAATCAACCTCAAAATTATGGTCATTCTTAAAGTATAAGGTTGAGAGTGAGGGTGATCAATTGATCTCATAGTTATTTATAAGGCCCTAAAAGAAAATAATAATCTTATTAGGATCACTAAAAATTAGTTATATTCAATTATATTTCATTGAGTTAATTAGGTTAACGAATATGACTTAATCTCTTATTGAACCACATGACATGAACGTTATAGGAAGGGAAAAAAATCTTAACGTAGGAGAAATACCAAAGATATATGGACAATGATAATCTTTTTATATCTCTTATAAAAAAAAAAAAAAGTAAAAAAAAAAACAACATATAAGGGCATATTGAATGCCCATAAATAAAGGTGAAGATGTGAAAATAAGTTAAATGGTGCCACTAAAAAAAGAGTTGGAGTCAGCTAAAATTTATGACACATCTGTAATAGAGATCCACTTAAAGAAGCTTAAAAATAAACTACAATTTATATTACAATGTAAAAAATATAAATACAATCATGGTTGGTTTTTCTGTGAGAGATTAGAAGTTCGAGTTGGACTGTACTTTTATAAATATTTTTTGTATGATAGTAATAAATTCCTCAAATGGACAATTTATATGATAGTAATTACAGTAATTTTTTTATTTTTATGAGATGTGAGGGATTGGATTCGAAGTATACTTTTATCTCTGCATATTTTGTTTGCCTATATTTTTATTGTATTATAATTAATATGTAGGTGACTTAATTACTATATATATAAATTTAGATAATAAAAATTGAGAACAAGTGTGTGTTGATAGAGAGACAAATTTTGGGAATCTTGCTAGCGACTTAAAATTATAAAAATTAGCAATGAACATTGAATGGCTTCAACAGGTGAAAAAAAAATAGAGGAAGGTAAAATAGGAAGAATATGGCAGAAAAATGAGGGGAGGGATGGCTGGCCCTATATTTGTAAGGTTTTATGAATATCTTCCTGCAAAAGTGACAAGTGGCATTTCTTGTTTGCTTTGTTGTCCATATGTCAACACTCTTCCCCAAATAACTCTGCCCATCTGCCCTACCCTGTTAGGCCCCCACCACCATACACGTGTCACCTATATTACTTCTCTTCCTCTCTATTACTTATAATCAATAATGTTTTGTCTCTGTGTTTTTTCAGTCGGGAATGAATTGGGGATGGGGTGGGGGGGGGGACCCGGGAGTTAATGCGGGATTCTTTTTGGTGGTGGGGCTTTCACAGCACCACCGCTACTCTCCAGGTGTCATCTGCTCTTTCGATATTATTAATTAATTGCTTGCCCACACCAACAACACTGCATTCACTTAACGTAACAAACACCTTTGTTTTTTTTTTTTTTTATTTCTCTTTAAAAAATTAGATTGGGATTTGGGAGTTGGAAGGAGAAGAGAAGTTATATATGTATCTTTTTCATTGCTTTGGATATTCAATGAATGATGCAGCTGATTCATGTCCGCTTATTTTTCTAAGAAAATTTATTCCCACTTCCCATTTTTTGTTCTGTATAAATTCTTCATTTTCTATTTATTAAAATCAATTTTTTAAAATTACAAAATATAAAGAGTAAAGAGTTTTGTCATATGATTAGCGACATGTATATTCACGATCCACCCATATATGTATATATATATATAGTGTATACGCTACGTAAAAAGTTAAAAAAATTATGTTATTATTCTGTATGACATATGTATACACGAGGTTGGATGTTGCATATGGATGATGTACACAAGTCTAGAAGAATGGAAACAATTTTGGTTAAAAAAGAAAGTATCGATAATAGATTAAATAGTTCAACCGACTTGTTCTGGTCACGGGACCACGTAGGTTTGTGCGTGAGAAGGAGACAGACACAGAAAGCAGCTGCCTTATGAAAATGAAAAGTTTAGATTCATTATTACAAAAATATATAATAATCCAAAAAATATTGACCAAATATTAAGTATAAATTATGAGGCTAATTATATTTTAATTAAAACAAATATAAATTACAAATATCTTTTATGTAAGTTTTTTATTTTTATTAGATGCAATAGTCTTGGACCCGATGTTTGGTGGAAATTGCACTCTGCAATACTAGATGCGTCTGAATCCACACACACACATATATACATGCATGTATAAAACTCTTGAAATAAAAATATAAATTAATGTATTTTAATAATTGAGTGATGTAATGATAATTTCTTTGAATGGTCTAATTATCATATCTGAAAATATATATATAAAAAATCAGTTAGCCATGATTGATAAGACGACATTCTCATCCATATATGATATATATATATATATATATATATAGAGAGAGAGAGAGAGACATAGCATAGAAAATGTGTGTATACATGCACCAAATGACACGTAAGAATTAATGGAGATCATTAGGTCCAAATCATTGAAGATATTTATAAGGTTTTTCTTCATTTCATTATTAGTAGGTTTATTAATTGCTTGACCCCAGAATGTCTTTATTTCTCAAATTACAAAAATTATACATTTACTATATATATATATATATATAAATGCATGTATGTATGCATACATATTGTCGTTCGTGTACCTCCAATAAACTATAATTAAAATTTTGTTTGTGTTATTTCTAATAGTTTCCTTTGTCTTTTTTTCTTTTAATTTAAAATTTATATATTTTTAAAATATGAATTATATTTTTTTGTCGTGTTTTGAAAAACTAAAATTTTATATTTTATAACTTATAAAATATATATTTAAAAATTATTTGATTTACTTGGTGGAAAAAAACTCTCTCTCTCTCTCTCTCTCTCACACATTTTTGTAGTTAATTATTGCCTTCTCAATTTCTCTATAGTTAAAACAATTATAAATTATCAAAATTTACATAAGAAACAATAATAATTTCTCAATAAAATTTTATCCCTTAAATTATATTTTTAAATAAAAATTCACAACACAAAAAATTAAATGCAATCATAAAAGTGAAAGATCAAAATATTTATTTTTACCCGACACTATTTAATTAAATAATTCTTATATTTTTTCTTTAAAAAAGTTATAAATTTTAGTGAGTTATATTCTCATTTAAAAATTATTTTTTATTGTATTATGATTAATACATATGTATAAAATATGGTATACATAATATATATTTTTTATTAAAATATATATAATATATATATTTTCTAGAAACACACACAACACTTTTTATAAAAAAAAATACAATTTTTGGTAAGTTTATAAAAAAAAAAAAAACTCTTTTATAAAAAGATAAGATTCTTAACGAACATATAAAACAAAAAAAATTACTTATGTTAAAAATAAAGAAAAAGATAATACTAAAAAAATATATATTACTATTTTCTTCATCGGATGAATTTTAGAGTGTGAAAATTACTCAGAACTCTAATATTATTAAAAAAAAATAAATAAATACAGTTAAGATCGTGAACAGAAAAATAAGTATTTTATTATTATATAAATTTTAATTTTCTATGAAGATAAAATTTAGTATTTTTAAATTTAAATATTATATAAAATTAACAAATTTTCTCTGTTATTTGTAAAAAAAAAAAAAAAAAAAAAAAAAGTTATACTAACTAATTTATTTTGGCAAATTAGGTGGCGCCAGCAGCGGCTGCAGAAAGCAACCAGTGACACAAATGACCATAAAATGTAAATTATTTTAGATACTGCGTCACAAATTTTGACAACGCAAAGTAAAAGGAAAAGAGAAACCAACAAAAGAAAACGCGGAATGCATGAATGAGTGAGTGGCCACCTGAAGATCACGTGGTGTTGGTTGATTTTTGCACGTGGCCTCGCCTCTCTGTTTTTACTTCTCTTCTCTTTTCAGTCTTGTTTGACTAACCCTGGATTACCACTACCACAATATATATATATATATATTATTTTATTTTATTTTATTTTAAGGAATTTTATTAATTTGACCTCCCCAGTGCACCTATCCTTCAGAAAAGTTTTTAAATTTATATAAAATACAGTAATTACTAGAGAGAGTAAGTTAACGAAATTAATAAATGGTTACAAGTTACAACGTGTTGAATTGGGAATTGAATTTTTTTTTTTAATGAAATGCTAAGCTGGGCTTGGGCCTGTAAGGGCCTTGGAAAGTTTTATTTGGGCCTGGCCCATAAATAAGCAAAAAATAATCATTGAAAGGAGAGTGGGAGTGTGGCACGCTCAAAACGGCTCCTGCTTTCTTCTTCCCTTCTCTATTTCATATTTTATTCTGCGCAAACCTTCGCCGGCTTTCTTCTTTTCCCCTGCAAATCACTGCCTTCAAGCCATCAATCTTATTCCTCTGCTGCGGGCTGATCTTCTCTTCTCTCTCATCGTCCGAGTCTCGCCCTCCGCTGTAAGTTAGCCGCTGTTTTTGGCCTTAATATGTTATGTTTACCTCTTTCGTATGATGCAAAATAATCCACTTTTTCTTTAAACTTTTCTAAAAGAATTCTACGGATGGCCGTATAATTGCTTATGGAATGTTTTGTTGTTGGTATTTTAATTTATGGACGGTAATCTTTTTCATTGTCTCACTTGATGATAAACCCTCTCAAGACATATAAACCCCAGAAGCCTTTTATCTTTTCTCTTTCTTTGCGTTCTCTTTCCATTATGGACGTTATTATTCTTTTCATTGTAGTTTGAGTGGTTGAGCAAAAATCCTTTGAGAATAAGAGCCATTTATTCTCTCTAAAGATTCTCTAGGGTTGCATTACTTTTCACCTTTTGCGATATTTGTATGTATGTAAGCTTATCTAGTTTCTGTTGTCATGTTAATGAATCATCTGCTTTTTTTTTCTTTTTTGAAGTTATAAAATTAATAAATTGAGCATTTCTGACATGATAAGAATAGAATAAAAAGATGGTACTTATATCTAGCAGAAATTAGCTGATTCTGGTGCGGAGAAACTCAGTAGAAATTGAAAAATTTGTGTTTGGTTTATTATATTATTAACCAAGATTCAGGGTCGTCTACGTGGCGCCAACCAGTGCATCAGTGCTTGGGAAAGAGTGGACGTTGGTGGGGTTAAAAGAACGGAAGGGCACCATGACTGAGGAAGCTCATTTGTCTGTAGCAGAGAAAGGTCTTAGGAAGAGGAGAGTAGGAAGAAAGAAGAGTGCTAAGGCGAAGAAATTAAAGGTGTTTCCAGATGCTGCAGAGAAGGTTAAAATAAATAAGAAGATGAAAAAACTCTTCCGGAAGAGGGCACGCGATTACAATTCAGATGATGAGTCAGGCCCTGGGGTCAGACATGAACAAGCATTTCCAGGTGATGATATGAAGGTGGAAAGTGGGGATTCTTCTGATGGAGAAAGAGTTGATGGGGAAGATGTAGATACATGCAAAGGAGAATATGAAGGAGAAGAAGATGATGAAATCCAGTCTGGAATTATAAAGTTCACAGAAGGTTCTAATGCATTCAAAGCGGCTTTCAAGAGCATCATAAAGAAGAGTAAAGCTGATGATGCATTGGTGAGTTAGTTGTTAGATTGATTTGTCATATTTTTTTCCAAGAATATGGGGCTTGCATGAACACGAATAAGCTTTGCAGGGACCTGTTCTATCAGCACACAAACAGCTCATTGCACAGAAGCTGGCTGAAGAGGAAGCTGAAACAAAAGTCAAAGGAGAGGCAAAGAAGGAAAAACATTTGGTATGTATAAATTAAGTTTGGATAATTCACAAGCTCATGTCATTCTGCAATTATATGTTTCGTTATGTTGCAGTTAGATCTTTTGTAATGTTATGATTTTTTTTTTCTCTCTTTATCATAGATGGCAGAGAAGGGACACGTGAAGCCCACCAATTATTTAGATTCCCATGAAAAGTTTCTAATAGGTGTTGCCACAAAAGGAGGTATTGGTATTTTCTTAATTATTACATCTGTCTTTGCGTTCTGTCTTTGCGTGTGGTGTGTGGTGTTGCATTAGTATGAAAATGGCACTTGTTTCTCTACCTTACTGACCTGATTTACATTTCAACTTTCCTGTGTGTTTGCTGGAGTTTCAGTGGTCAAGCTATTTAATGCTGTAAGTTACTTTCCAAACTTTTTACATTGTTTTTTTCTCTCTCTAGATTAATAGCTGTCAGTTTTAGATTACTTGATCTTTTTTGAGGGAATAGATTGCTTGGTCCTTCTGTCATTCAAAATTTGACCTCTGTTGCATGTAATCTTATTCAGGTTAACAAGGCACAGACAGCTCAGAAAGGATTGAATCCTTCAAGGAACAAAGATGCAAAAGGTACGTGAGAAATCATTGCAGATACAAATTGAGATACTTTTGTTTTTCTGTCTGTAACTTTCTCTTACCACCTTTACCAAGTAGGTTTCTTAAATGAAAGTAAAAAAAAAAGAAAAAGCGAAAAAGATATAACTGGTAATCTGGTGGAAGATTTATTTGTGTAGTTGATTTTGCATCAATGAGATTCAACCGTAGCACTCATGCTCGTTATTATTGTGGGTATTGTCATGTCCTTGTGATAAGCTAATGGCAATGCTTAAAATTTGATAAAAGTTCTCTTCAAGTTTTGAACTGGTACATAAGAAAGATACCTGTAAGAGCGCAGCTATGAAGCTGTGGTAATGCACAATGATTTTATACACTAATAATTGCATTAATTTACGGTTATCTATTATGCTTTGTTGTGTTGTACAACTATATGAAAATTTGATAGCCATGAGAGTTGTTCGCATGTATTCTTTCAGAAGCTTGTGTTTTCTTTACTATTGATGGGAGTCAAAACTGAACAGTGAAAAATAACAGGAAAAGAACAAAGAAAATGTAAGACCAATCAAATGGAAATGGGAATACCTTGTATTCCCCCAGTAAGTAATGACTGCTGTTTCTTTTGAAAGATAAGTAGTGATTACTGTTAAAATATATGATAAGGCTCTTCTTTTGATTAAGGTTCAAGAATGAGCTAGCCTATTGTGATTGTTATTCACAAATTTTTGTCCCTTAAAAGATGCTTCATAATCCCGATTTTGCTTGCTAGAATACTTGGTAGATTTTTTGCTACTGAGGTGGCTTTTTAAGACTAGTTATTGAATTGATCTCTTCTTAAAAAATTTTAAATTGGTCTAGCTGTTTAAGACTAGTAGTTGAATTGATCTCTTCTAAAGAAAATGTTAAATTGGTTTGAGCAATGACCTGTATGCCATGGTTGTTGTTCGTACATAAGCTTGATGTTTCTTTCATGCTACCAATGCTAATTATGTAATATCTTAATCCTGCCAGTAATAAAGAAGCGGAGAAAAGAAGCCTTCTTTTCAGACTTAGGCAAGACACCATTGCCAGCCACTGATGCTCTCACCAAGGTCAGTCGCTGCTCATTTCTCTTTCAATTTGTCTTGAATGATAGTTTCATTGGTTTATGTGGTTGTAATATGCTTATGCATATTTTATCATGTTTTGATAATGTGCTATTGTGCGTACAGGGCCGTGCAACTCCTGGCTCAATAAATGATGAAGAGCCTGCTTGGGCTCCATTACGTGATAACTACATGCTAACAAATCCTAAATTAAAAGACTGGGATAAAAAGCAGGTTAGAGTCTGCTCCACGTTCTACAAGTCATCTCTCTTTCTCTCTCTGTTCCATCTTCCATCTTTCCTATTTATACACCATACAAACACTAGCAACTATTTGGTTTTGTTCTCTTTACTCACTTGCGACAATTGGCTGCAATTTCGCATACAGGATTCAACCACACCAGATGATATAGGAAGAATGTCCGAGGGTGGCAGTTCAGATGATGATTGATCTTCTAGAGGAATAAACTAGACTAGTATATAATGATTAATCTTAAGATTGTTGTAGCTGATTGTCTGGAAAGTGTGCATCTTTACCAGGGAAATTGATGCGGAGAGAAGGAATTTTCCTTGTCCTTTTTCTCCTATATTACATAATGGTTTTTGTTATTGTTAAAAATGCAACTTCCAAATGAAAATGATTATTTGATTCCTGTTTACGAGTATTATAAATCAGAGATGGTAAAAAGCCCAAGAGATATATTGTACTGGGGTTATTGATTCCCGTTTATCATTAGCATGCTCTGATCGGAAACATGGAACATGCATCCAAAGAACTTTGCGGGTACTGAGAAGTCTTCAGTATGAGAAGAAATCGTCAAGTTTTAATAACTGCTGATGCCGCAATACTGGCTTTGGTCATCAGGGGAATTCACTCTACTTATTTTTACAGGGCTATCAAAATAAATTTACTTAAACAGTAATATGAGGAGGGAAGCTGAAAGGAAAATATATAACCAACAGAATAACATAACATATCAAATTAGAGATAAATTATTTGCAACCACAATATAGATCCTTGCAAGTTGAGTCACTTATGCATACCTGCAACTTCTCAGTTTAGGACTAAAACAACGGCATATAGCACCTGATTTATAATATCCCAAGGGGTCCCAAAACATAAAAGAAATACATTGGGAAAACGTGCACATATACTCATCCTTTTTTGCTATACATGTCCAAATAAAAAAGCTATCGAAAGGATGTTCTCTTTCTGAAGTCTTCATTGTCTCTTGACCAGACATTATACACCCTATGTCAATTTTTACATACATAGATCCTGTGCTGTACATGTTTTTCAAGGACAAGACAAAAAAAGAACAAAGATTACAATTGCAAGCTGTTTCACTAGAGTCTAGCAAGTTGATTTCAACGGCCAACCATCCTGTGGAGTTGGGGCTCATGTTTTCGCAAGCTCCAACGAGTTGGAAGAAATAGAAGATACTTTAATAGCTGATCTAATGAAACGGGTTACAAATATGGCTGTAAGGACTAGTAAGCATCCTTCCCTCTAGTTGAATGGAGAACTTCATTTGCCCAAAGGAATGGCACAATAACAGAATTCATAGCTTAAAGTTAGGGGGTACCCCAAATCATATGGTAGAAATCAGAATTTACCACCATTTATGGTAATGGATATCAGGCCTCTGTTCCCGCATTTATTGTTGAATAATCACAAACCGGCATTCTACATCCACTCCTTTAAATAAAACCCATGCACCTGTGATACAATGACACAGCTTGTCATTTCACAGCAAAAGAACTATGCATCAATCCATTGCTTGGGTAATAACCAATTCTTTCCAACAAAACATCTGGTGTTTCTTTCGTTTTCTAAGCATGGTTAAAAATTGTACTCTCAGCAGCTTCTGGTTTGGTTCAGTGGATCATAATCATAGGCATCACCGGCTTTGACAAACCGGCCTTTCACACGTCTTCTCACATCAGCCCTTGCTTTACGGGAGGCATACCTTACTCTCTTATCAAACCTACACGAGATACAAATGACAGTTTAAGCATATAGAGGTTTCTTTCAGCAGTAGTATAACATGTGAAAAAAGTAGCTTGAAATGAAGCTCCTATAAAGTTACAAACTTTAAACCTTATTAAAGGCACGTGCCTCTCCAATGTATATAACATATTATGACAACAAACTGACACTAAGAAAGTAATCAAATTAAGATCCCATGAATCTTTTTTGTCCATAACATTAGTTCTTGTCCTAAATAGATAGAAAAGAACATGAAAAAACTTTTCCGGGATTCACACTTAGGAGTTTCAGAAGCAATGGACTTAGTCTAATCAGCAGTTAGAACCTACCGGCTCTAGGATTGATAGACTCTTTGTATTAGTCAATTGCCGACTTGAGTGCTCTAGGCTGTGTCAAAGACTACTATAGCACCATCTCTTATCATTTCACGATCAACCTAGATTCTAATGGGATAAAATGGGGGCCTTCTCCTTTTAGATTGAAGGATAGGTGGCTTAAAGTCACAGGGTTTCAGGAGAGAATTAAAGATTGGTGGAATGGCATGATGGTGGAGGGCAAAGTAAGTTATAGAGTGGCTAAGAAGCTTTGGGTGGTTAAGGAGGAAATTAAGAAGTGGTGTAATGAAGAGGGAAGGAGCGAGTCTACTATTACTTGATCTTTACTTTGGGAATTAGAGGGCTTTGATAGAATAAAGGGATTGTTCACTGCTGATCAAGGTCGTAGAGAATTTATCCACATTGAACTTGCAAACAACATCCAGATGGAAAAAATCTCATAGAGACAAAAGTCACAAGTCAGATGGATAAAGGGGGGAGATAAAAATATGAAAATTTTCCATTGTCTTGCTAATCACCATAGGAGGATTAACTATGTGGAAGAATTTGAGATCGATGAAGGTGTTGTTAGGGGAAATGAAGATTTGAGAAAGGGGGCAAAAACTTTCTTCAATAAGCTTTATTCTGAAGATTTTAAGTGGAACCCAAGTTGGATGGCTTGAATTTTCTGTTAATGGACAATCATAGTTGCGAAACACTTGAGCAGAAGTTTCCTGAAGAAATTCATGAAAACTTGCATTGCAGTAAGGATAAAGCTCCTGGGTTTGATGGATTTAACATGGGTTTCCTTCAGAGTTTTGGCATGTTATAAAGGATGATATTGTTGAACTCTTTAATGATTTCCATGAAAGAGGTCAGTTTGGTAAAGGTTTAAATTCTACTTTTCTGGTTCTTATCCCAAAGATTGTGAAGGCAACAAGCATTAAGGAGGGAGATCCATCAGTCTTGTGGGAAGTGTGTATAAACTTATCACTAAATTTTTAGCGAGAAGAATGACTAAGGTGATGAAGGAAGTGGTAGAAGAGTGTAAACATGCATTTATGGAAGATAAGCAAATCTTGATGCAACCTTAATTTGCAAGTGGGATTGTGAATGGACTGAAACATAAGAATTGAGAGGCAATTCCTTTGTAAACTTGATAATGGAAGAAACTTATGACCATGTGAACTGGGAATTTTGGATTATATGGTGATAAGGATGGGTTTGATAACAAATGGTGAAAGTAGATATCTCTACGACCTCCTTTGCTGTTATGGTGAATGAGAGGCCATCGTCATTCTTTAGGGCCACTAGAGGACTCAGGCAAAGGAGACCCTTTGTCCCCATTTTGTTCATCATCATTATGGAGGCTTCCAACAGAACGATTTTGAAGGACTGTGAACGATTTTAAAGGTTAATGATGGAGAGCGTGTGGAAGAGATTACTCATCTATCTTTTGTGAATGACATGTCACTTTCTGTAAGCCAAGTGAGAGAGCCTTACTAAATATTAGATGCATTCTATTAAGCTTCTTAGCAATATCGAGCCTCACATTAATCTTGCCAAGTTTGAGCTGGTGAAACTTGGGAAAGAGTGGGATGCTATCAATTTAGCCAATATCCTTGGATGTAAGAGTGCTAATCTACCTATCAAGTATTTGAGACTCTAGGTGGGGGCTAAATACAAGGAAGTTTTTAGTTGGGGATCTGATGATGGCTCGATTTAAACAATGTTTGGCTGGTTGGAAGAGAAACTTTCTATCTAATAGGGGAGATTCACTCTCACTAAAAGCAATTTTGGCCAATATCTCGATTTACTACATGCGTCTCATGACAAATCTCCGCCGAGTGTGGCTAAAAGATTAGAGTCCATACAATATAGATTTTTACAAGGTGATCCCAAGAAGAGGAGATATGTATCATCTTGTGACTTGGGGTGAGGTTCAAAAGCCTTTTCACCTTGGTGGGCTAGGGTTGAGATTTATGGAAGAGGTTAATAGGGCTCTTTAAGGGAAATACTACGGAGATTAATAGAGGAGGATGATAGTCTTTGTTGGAGAGTAATTTAGGTGAAATATAGTATTGAGAAAAGAGGTTGGTTCATTAGACTGACGTCTAAACCTTATGATAATGGATTATGGAAAAAGAATATGCATGGGAAGAAGACAGTTTCATAACTACATTAGATGGAAGATTAGTACAAGGAATAGAATTAGGCTATGGTATAACAATTGAATGGAGGAAATCCTCTCAAAGATCAATTTCCTCAAATATAAACTATTGCTTGTAATAAAGATGCCCCGATACAGGATGCCTACACCGACACTACGAGGTTTGGGGTGTGGTTTGTGGAGGCCAAGAGAAACCTTAATGATTGGGGAGTTAGGGAGTACAAGACATTATTCCTCGCCCTTTCAAGAGAGGATTGATGGGAGTAGAGACAATCCACTCTAGAACCTTAATACTAAAGTGTCTTTCTCTGTAAGGTCTTTTTACAACCATTTGACTAAAAAAGACACTAATAAAAGAGACTTCCTTAACAAGCAAATTTGCAAGATTAATGCATCATCCAAAGTTGCTTTTTTTGTTTGGGAGGCTTTGAGAGGTTGCATCTTAACCTTGGAAGAGTTTATTAGAAAGGGCAAGGTTTTGGTGAATGACTGTTATATATGCAAAAGGGATTCTGGGTTAGGTAATCATCTACTTTTATGGTGCCCATTCGTGTATAGACTACGGACCCTTGCTTAGGCCTTTTAGGTATTAACTGAGTGATGGCTAGTTCGATAAAAGAAGAAATTTGGCGTAGAAAGGAATCGAAGATGGGAAGAGATATGTGAGCCTTATTCACCTTGCTACCTTTTTGGGTGGTGTAGAAGGATAGGAACAAAAGAGTTTTTGTGGACACAGGTCAATTTTGATAAGGTTAAGAGTAGCTGGTTCTAGACTTTTAAGTTTTTTTTATTAAGAGTCATTCTCTTTATTCTTTTGAGAACCTTGAGAACTTTATTAACATTTTGATTGATATGTAAATACTCTTTGTACATCGGTTTGGACCACCTTAGTGCGTGCGAATGAATACATACATATTTTTTTATTTAAAAAAAACATCAGCTCTTTCCTAACCATTAGCATAGAACATATGAAATAAACTTAATTGCCACCAGCTAAAAGGAAAGGCAACAAGTTATCCACAAGGAGATAATACTAGTACACACTGATAGCTTGGTATATACTAAAACATTTTTGAATGAATTGATTCACATCATAAAAGGGCATAGATTCCCATCTTCACGTGGATAATTATTTTGATTTCCTGGTAAGTGGGGGTTCAAAGCTGGGAAGGGATGTGTGCAATTATGCACACATTTCCACAATTCTTTCCCAGAGAAAAAAAGTGGACACTCCCACAACATGTGTCCTATTTTATGGTTATACAACTAAACTGCAATTTTAAAATATATCTAAGGAAACATTACACAAGAACAGAAGTACTAGGAAACGTCAAACAATTCTATATAATTGACTATGTAAACAAACTAAAAGCCAAAAAAATGCAGTAAAGGGATGAGGCTACTTGAACAACCACAATACTACCAACAAGGTCATTAGGATGATGGATGGGTTTGCTGAATCATTTTATTATCAAAAATTTGTTTAGTTTTATTTCTATTAAAAACACACTTACTTTCGTGTCTTCTTCTTTTCCTTGTAGCGCATAACTGCATTACTCCTGCTTACTGATTGCAAGGAACCCTCAGGGCATGAAGGAAGCCATGGAGGCTCCCCCATGAGAAGCATTGATGAAGCCCCACAATCTTGATAATCCCCACCACTACTCTCTCCAGTCAGCCCAGAAAATGAGAGGTTGGAATGACCTTGCCTTGCCGTAAAACGTACAATGGGTTCAGTTTTGGTACTCATAACAGAATCTGCAGATGCTGCATTGCTGCAAGCTGGCTGCATTGCACTAACCAGTCCAACTGATGATCCCTAGAGAACAATACATATATTTGACAGCAAGTCAATTCGGAAAGTACTCAGGATTTTGTTGTTGACAAAAATAGGAAGAATATTTTTTCCTTTTAATGCAAAGAACACATATACAACACTGAGCATATCGGATCTGTCGTCACATAATTAAAATGCAGTTAGAAAATTATCTAAGCACAGATTGCTTTTGAATATGGGTTGTATATCTTTGGTGGTCTTCAATATTATAATTTTACTTTTCAAAAAACATTTATGCACAGATTATTTTAGGAATAATGGAGAGAAAATAATTAGCATACAGTAAAAGAAGACGCTGATTAGGGCATTCATTTGCAAACTACCCATAAAATTTCATCATAAGCTGATATAGACTCCTCGTAACTGCACACAACATTTGAAAAAGAATGCCCGAGTCGAATTTCTGCAGATAATTCAAAAAATATATGTACAATACAAACTATGCTAATTTTTTATATTCTTAGTCCCTACTGGAAAGAAATGATTACCCCCATAAAGTATATAGCTGTTACAAAAGAAAAAAGGAATCTCGCATAAAGACTCTTATTTGGATACAAGAGAATTATATACCTCATGCCAGCAAAGCAGACTATTTTGCTATGGAATATCACATTGAAGTGGAGTTAACAATATGCATGAACATTGTTTAAAAGTAAGAGAAGTTACTACTAAGAATTTAAACAACTGACCCCAAAGAAGTAAATAAAACTAGAAGTTAAAACTATGTTTTTCTTGTATAACCCATGAAGAAAATGAAACGGTTAAGAACAATAAGACGCTCAAATTTCCCACAATCATACCATAGGCATGCATCAAGATCAGACTACTGAATGGACAAATGATCAAGCACCTAAAAATAAACAAATGATTGTAAACAAAGCCCAAAGCAAGAAAAAGAGAGATGAGAACCTCAGCAGCAACAGCACCCGGACAGTTGGATTCAGCAGCAGAGATGTCCTTTGTCCCAAACAAGCTATCTAGTCCACCATTCTCAAAAAGCTCTTGTGAATGATTAAGTGTTACACCAAAAAGTTCTTCATAATTTTCGAGATTTAAATCCACTTCATCCATAAGGAAGTCTCCATAAAGATCATCTTCACAGAATCCAAGACCTTTTGTTCCAGGAGAGCATGACTGCATATTAATAAAGTGAAAATTTGCAAAGATCCTCAAGGAATAAAGCTACTGCAGATATTTAGGCAACCAGTAAAATGCCAGTTGAATCAGGCATCAGCAAGCTAGATTTTCAATTAGCAAACTCTGCTTATGCATGCAAGACTATATGACAGTTGGCACACCAAAGCTAACCATCAAGATAGGCCATTATATCCTAATGATGTTAAACATCACCGATTATTCAAAAATAGTTAAATCCCGCTGAGCCATTAACAACTACAAAATGGAGTGAAGATTTGAAATATATTAGAAAAGGTGTCTAAAAACATTGTGAACAAAATTTCAATAAGGTAATCAAAATTAGAGTCTACATATACTCAGTGTTTTTTACAACAAACTTCTCATTCTGTAAGTAAACAAGAAGAGAAATTGTTTATTCTATTGCCAGTATTTCTAAAAAAATAATAATAATCAGAATCAATGGGTGATGAATCAACTCTTTCATGATACAATATGACAAATTTTTTTATAGTTTTTCAAATTAACCTAGTCCAAAACAATAAAAGAAAAAGTTACATTTTGGTAGACACTCCAAATAATAAATAAAATTACCAAAATCAGCAAGTTTTTATGTTAAGGTTCGTGCTGATGGATCGCCTTATGAGACTATTCACAACGAAATCAGTAAGAATTGCATTTTTCTTTGATTTCCTGTCTTTCCATATCTTTAGAAATTCAAAAAAAAAAAAATTAGTTAGGGCTCATTGGATATAGAGAACCCTATGATCTATAGAGTAGAAACTTACTCTTCATTAATAATAATCAAACATAATCACGTCTTCATCCCACAGCAGACGATATATACAAAGTGGAAGAGTTAAGTCTGTGATTTTGAATTCCTGGAATTGCCTAACTGCCCTTGTCCTATAAGAGGCTTATTTCCTACCCTGATATACACTTGACACTTATTTAGGCACACTTAGGTAGAGATTACATTATAAATATTAAAACTAAGGCACGCAGATAAGCAATTACATAGGACTACTCATTTCATTCCTCTTTTCACAAACCTTAGGGTAAGGAACTATTTTGTTCCTAACATCACTCCCCCCCTTGAATTCGCGCTTGTCTTCAGTCGCAAAGTGAGGGTATTGAAGCTACATGTGATAAAGATGCATCAGCAGGCAAGAGGCCGATCCAATGAATAAGAACTTCATGCTTGCCATTCTGGCTCCGTGATGCCAACTGAGTTTGAGGTGAAGGGTGAGGAACCCCTTGATGAACAAGAGGGGACATGTCCTGCTGTTCATGGAAAGCCTTGAGAGAGGAAACATGGAAAACGGGATTGTAACTTCGAGGAAGAAGGTAAATCCAACTTGTAAGCAACTTCACCAACTCTTTGGCGAATCCTTACAAACCCGTAGAGACGAGGAGACAACTTTGGCTTATGGCCAAAGAAAA